GGTGGTGACACCGGTGGCGACACCATGGTGGCTACGTTACATTGGCATTGATTTAAATGGGACATCTTCACACTGAGCTTTGGTGGCGCGTCTGGCCGCGCGACCAGAAATGCGGTGGCTCAGGGTTGCAATTTTCAGAGAAACCAGTCTGGTGGCGCCACCACGTCGTACCATGGTGTCTTATCGGACTGTTCACATTGGAGCGACTGGCAGCGCCACCAGTCACTACCAGCGGGCATTACACAGTATACTAGTTTACTAATTTTTGAAGTTGTTAAGGTAATAAATATGGGGAAACGATTTTATTGATGTATCACAATGTATAGGTACTCTATTTCATTTACATCTTTTTGTCATTGCAATGTATACATTGAGTCAAGGTATTACAGTTTTATTAATAAATGGTATATTAACTATGTTTTTATTTAATTTTCCGCAACGTTAGTAGCAGTTTCTCTTCTGGAGATATTTTATCTTTCAGACGTCCCAGAAGCTCATCAAAACTTAAAACACACATTCTTGAGTAAGTAGTCATTGTGAAACGTGTCAGGGTTATTTCTAAGGTCTTAGTAGTGAATGAAAAAAGTCTCTCTGGTACTTATATCTCATAAAAATGAATGAACAAAAAAATATGTTTTTTTATGTTTTTACAATTTAAAAAAATAAAAATATATACGCTAAGCACCTGCCTCTTCGACGTCCAGCTTTGTGGCTGCAGCTGCACTGGTGGCTGAGCTGGTGGTCCATGCACATTTTGACCGGCCACCAGTGTCACCACCAGTGTCGCCACCATGGTGGCCCAGTGTGAAGAGGCCCTGAGAGTATATCAATATCAGCTGTGCTGTAGGAGATTGATTAGTAGTAGAGTGGGGGAAACTACTGATTCACACTTACAGCACAGCTGAGACAGGATTAGTTTGTCTATTGGTTTCTTACCATGAGCCTGAGAACAGATAAGGAACTCTTATGTGATATCTGTCTGGCTGCATGGTTGTGAATTGTCATAATTACTTGATAAGGAATAAGATTAAACCAACTGTAGGTATACTATACCTAAGAGCATTTGATAAATAATAAAAACTGTAAAGAAATTTAACCCTTAGAGTGCCAGGCGAGAAATAAAAGTAACGCTAAAAAAATGCCGATGATTTTTCCCGAAGGTCGCGCTAAAAATGCCAAGCGCGATCTGGCGATTTTTAGGTTAAAATTTCGTAAAAATCGAATTTTCGATATTTCGACCAACGAAAATCGATGTATCGCATCTAGTAACTTTCGACTCAATGTTAATATATGGGTTAAAAGAATCCGAGTATCCATTCGGTTGTTATGACAACTGTTCGATCATTACGAAACGTCCGATCAGCCGGACGTTGGCACTTTTGGCTCGTTCTAAAAACGTCCAGTCGGCCGGACGTCGGCACTTTTGGCTCGTTTTAAAAACGTCCGGTTCCCCGGACGTTGGCACTCAAAGGGTAAAAAAAAAACATTAAAAATGGCATTTTTGGAGTGAAAAAAGTTTTCAAAATTGAGATTGCAACAGGCCATAACTTTTGAACGGCTAGTCCCGGGTGTATATAATTCAAATATCTACAACTATTGGCCTGCAGGGGCCATAGCCCCTAATTTAGACTACAATAAAAAAAACATTTAATAAAATGACAAATATTCGAAATATGTTTTTAAAATTTTTAATTTTATGTTTCTTAAAATTAACAGTGTTTCTTGTTTTATATCTTGGTTTTCCTTCCGTTGGAGTCATATATTAGTTGCTTCTGATGTGTCATTGAAATACAATTGTAAAATAATGATTAAATCAATAACACAACATATTAACAAAGGAAACGTGCACATGGTTTGGCCTGAGCCCGGAGAACGACAAATCAGAGCTGAAATCATACAGCCAAACATTGCACATCTTTTCTAGTTTAAAATTGAAGATTTGTTTTGTAATCTTACGAATTATGTTATAGTTTCAATTTTGAGAACCAAATGTAAAGGTATTAACAATATAATAAAACATATGATTTGTGCACAAAAGGCAGGCAGAACATAGTAGTCAGAGAGAACTGCTAACATACTCCCCCCCCCCCTAAATTGCTACAGGGAACTGGGCAATTTTATTCTGTGACAGGAAGAAGGTACAATTTCGCTATTGGTCCTTTCAGTATTCCAGTAGCTGTCTTCATTGTTACCACGCGAATGAGATTGTCAAGCCCAGGATGAACTTCTATGACTTTTGCTAAAGGCCATTTTGACGGAGGATATTGTTCGTCAGTGATAAGGACTACTGATCCTACTTTAAGTTCTGTGTTTGGAAATCTCCATTTATAAATTGTCTACAGTTGCTGAAGATATTGCCTTGACCATCTTTTCCAGAAACTTTGTAACATTTGCTGCAACAACTTCCATCTTTAAAGTATATTTCTTGGTACTTTCTTGAGGTCTGGTTCTGGTATTGTAGATAGTGATGCACCAACAAGAAAATGTGCAGGAGTCAATGTAGATAGGTCATCAGGATCATCAGTCAATTTGCAGAGAGGTCTCGAATTCAAAACCTCTTCGATTTGTGTGAGAATGGTAGTGAATTCTTCGTATGTTAGTTGAGTGTTACCAACGATTCGTTTTAAGTGATATTTCACTGACTTCACTCCTGCTTCCCAGTGACCACCTAAGTGAGGAGCAGATGGATGGTTAAATTTCCACAATGTTCCATCTTTAGTTAGAAGATCTCTTAGTTTAGTACTTGCCGTTGTTGAAGCCGTGAATAGACGTTTTAGTGCTGCATCAGCGCCGATAAATGTACCACAATCACTGGACAGAGTGGAAGAAATTTCACGGCGAGCTGTGAATCTCTTATATGCTGCAATGAATGCTTCTGCAGAGTAATCTGTGACTAATTCGAGGTGGAGTGCAGATGTTGAAGAGCAGATGAATACTGGATAGATAGTAAAATTGATGCAATAAAAAAGATAAAATTCAAGAGATGGTTTAATGAACATGATTATTAAAGAACTGACAAAATGTAAACAAAAATGTAAATAGAGTATTAACAATATAATAAAACATATTATTGTGCACAAAAGGCAGGCAGAACATAGTAATCAGAGAGAACTTCTAACAGTTTGTAACTGATCTTATTTTGTTTTCTAGTTATAAGAGGTTTTGTTTAGTTTAGGTCCTGGCTTGAGTCAAATTGTAAAATAGTTTTATAACTGAAATTCGCTCATGAATATTTTGAAAGTAAACTGATGAATAAACAGAAAAAGGAAATATTAAAATGACAGAAGAGAATAGGGCTATTTTTATGAAGACAGCTATTTTTTTAAGAAATTAATCATGTCAGGTAAACTTACTAAATTTTGACTTTTATCTTGAAAAATACATGAAACTTAAAAATCCAATGGATTGAAGCACATTGAACTGATCGTGACACAAATTATTCCATGACTTCTCCAGAGAATTTCCTTTAATTTGACAACTACGTCATCAAAATCGGTTCATAAATAAAATATTTTTGCTCTACACAAGAAATTCCTGACAGAATAAGAATAATAGATAGGTTTCTTTTATTTTAAACTAGCGGTTGTACCTGTGCTTTGCAACGGGAAGAGGGAACAAAATAGAAACATTTTGATCTTTACATTTGTATAAAATAGTTACACATCCACCAACGCTTTAAAAAAAACAAAATTCGGCTGCACTTTAGAATCCGTCTTTAGATAGATTTTCATACAATTTACTATGGTATAGCCCTTTAAATTCTGAACAAAATGGTACAAATACAATTTCTGTAAAAGTTATGGTTCAAAACTATTATAAATGATGTTATTTTCCCATAAAACCCCATATAATAACGATAGGATTTAACAAACATGGTTTTGATTTAGCTTAGTATGTTATGGTCCTAAAAATTTTGAAAGTTTTTTTCTTTTTGATTTTTTATGGGAATTTTCCCTTAAAACAACAGCAAAATAGAATTTTCTCGAAAATGGCCTGAACGATTTTCTAAAAGATTTAATATGTTATAGTCCTTTTCATTCCGAACAAAATGGTAGAAATCCCATTTCCGTAAAAAGTAAGGTTCAAAAGTGATTGTATCTTATGTCATTTTCCTATAAAAAACAATAAAATAATAACAAAATTCGGAATTAAAAAAAAAAAAACTGGTATTTATCAAAGTTAATATGTTATGGTCCTTAAAATTCTAAAAAAAATAGTACAACTCCCCATTGCTGTAACAATTACGGTTCAAAGGTTATTGAAACTTTTTTAATTTTTAACCATAAAATATCATATTTACTCTCACCGCTTACTATGATAAAGGTTGCTGACAAGCTTATGGGAGAAAGTATGTGTCAGAATGCTGATACCGTTTATTAGTTTGATCTTTAAAAATACATGGAAACTTTAAAATACAAAAGAGTGAAGCACACTAAACTGAGCGTGACACAAATTATTCCATGACTTCTACAGAGAATTCCATTTCATTTGACAATTACATCGTCAAAATCGGTTCATAATAAAATTGTTTTGCTGTACACGAGAAATTCCTTACAGAATAAGAATAATAGATAGTTTTCTTTTATTTTAAATACGGAAAAGTTTTCTCTGCAACAGGCGATTCATATTAAGCGGTGTTCGGATTTGAGGTGTTATTGGTTAGTGGCATTTTTTTATGTTGAGAAAAACAGTTAAGCCCTATATTTGGATATTTATAATGTTCTCACGCTAGTAGAAATTTAAATATTGTTAATTGATTGTTCAACCCATTTGAATAGATTAATAAATGGTTTTAATAAGGTATGATCTTTCTTAGAAGAGAAGACAAAAAGAGAGGAGAATATAGTTTAACAACTTTAAAAGAACTAATTAATTGATATACTCCCTGATGTAATACTTTGAAGAACCACTCCAAATGTTATGTTTCCCTACACAAGTTTAATAAAACAATTTGTTTTGTTTGACTAGAATTTGAGTTTCAATAAACATTTCTGTTTTAGGTCGAGACAAAAAAGAATTAAAACAACAGATTAAATTGATTTAAGAAGTAATATAATGCAAAAGAAGAATAAAGAAGACACGAGAAAAAGGAAAATCCCTCAAGTGTATTGTAAAAATATCTAATACGCATTGCAAGATTTGACTATGAAGTGATTCAATGTTGAGTGAAAGAGGTAGCCTATCATGTAACTACTAGCCACTTAACAAGGCCTACAAACAAGTTTTAGTTACATACGAATTTATGACTTTTCTAATTAGTTACTAGCTTATGTGATAAGATTTATAGATATAAAAATTGCAAGAGTAGAAATGTTAACTCGCTTCAAAAAATATCCTCTTAAGTGTCCAATATGTGTGCAAAGTTGTTCAACTCCATCCGCAATGAAGGCTCATATATTGTATCACACGGGAGAGCGTCCCTTTAAATGTTTGGCATGTGGGAAAACTTTTTTCCAAAAACACCATGTAAAAAGACATTTGTTGATCCATTTTGCGATATATAATTATAAGTGCCCAACATGCGAAAAATCCTTTGCATCAAAATACTATATGAAGAGACACACACTAGTTCATACAGGAATGAGACCTTACAAGTGCTGTACATGTGGAAAATCCTTTAAAACCAAAGGCAATATGAAGATACATTCATTGTTTCATACAGATAAGAGACTTTTTAAGTGCTCTACGTGTGGAAAATCCTTTACATACAAAGGCGATATAAGGACACATTCATTGGTTCATACAGGAGATAGACCTTACAAGTGCTCTACATGTGGAAAATACTTAAAATCCAAAGGCGATATGGTGAGACATTCATTAGATCATATAGGAGAGAGACCTTACAATTGCTCTACATGTGGAAAATCTTTTACATCCAAAAGCGATATAAAGAGACATTCATTGGTTCATACAGGAGAGGGACCTTACAATTGCTCTACATGTGGAAAATCTTTTACATTCAAAGGCGATATGAAGAGACATTCATTGGTTCATACAGAAGAGAGACCTTACAAGTGCTCTACATGTGGAAAATCTTTTACATCCAAAGGCGATATGAAGAGACATTCATTGGTTCATACAGGAGAGAGACCTTACAATTGCTCTACATGTGGAAAATCTTTTACATCCAAAGGCGATACGAAGAGACATTCATTGGTTCATACAGGAGAGAGACCTTTCAATTGCTCTACATGTGGAAAATCTTTTACATCCAAAGGCGATATGAAGAGACATTCATTGGTTCATACAGGAGAGAGACCTTACAATTGCTCTACATGTGGAAAATCTTTTACATCCAAAGGCGATATGAAGAGACATTCATTGGTTCATTCAAAAGAGAGACCTTACAAGTGCTCTACATGTGAAAAATGCTTTAAATCCAAAAGGGATATGGAAAGACATTCATTTGTTCATACAGGAGAGAGACCATACAAGTGTTCTACATGTGGAAAATCCTTTAAATCCAAAGGTCATATGAAGAGACATTTATTAGTTCATACAGGGGAGAGATCTTACTAGTGCTCTACATGTGGAAAATCCTATAAAACTAGAACTCATATGCTGAAACATTCATTGTTTTATACAGGAGAGAGACATTACAAGTGCTCTCCATGTGGAAAATCCTATAAAGCCAAAACTCATATAATAAAACATTCATTGGTTCATACAGGAGATAGACCTTACAAGTGCTCTGTATGTCAAAAAATATTTACATCGAAAGGCGATATGAAGAGACATTCATTGGTTCATACAGGAGAGAGCCTTTATAAGTGCTCTACATGTGAAAAATCCTTTACATCCAAAGGCGATATGAAGAAACAGTAATTTGTTCATACAGGAGAGGGACCTTACAAGGCTCCACATGTGAAAAATCCTTTACATCCAAAGGCGATATGGAGAGACAGTAATTTGTTCATACAGGAGAGGGACCTTACAAGGCTCCACATGTGAAAAATCCTTTACAACCAAAGTTAGTATGAAGAATCATTCATTACTTTGTAATAAACCTCTAAATATGTTGTTATTTTATTTTTGTCTTAACTAATAATAGAAATGATGAGGTCAAGATGTTATTGGATACAATGTTTAATGGTAAATAAAGGGTTACAAAAAGTCTTGAAGGGTGGGGATTAGTGCAGACTGAATCAAAAGATTTCTTTGACTTTATAAAATGCAATAAGTTAAGATGTAGATTGAATAATAATTTGGAAACAATATTGTAGTAAGATCATAAATTTGTCTTTTCTTTTCTTAATATTACTGAAATATAGAGGTCGTTTTAGTCCCAAAAAAGATCCTGGAGATGTCTATAGTTTGAGTTAATAATAAATTGAATGTTCTCACCAATCTTCTGTAATAATAATTTTCTTCTGAATAATATAGGCTTTAATTCTTCTTTCTTCAGTTAATTTTGATATTTTGACAATAGTTTATATTATAATTTCACATTTTTTTTATCACAACTAATAGTTTCTGTATGTTCTTCTTGGATACCTTAACTGCACTCTCACTGTTCATTGTTGTAAATCATTTCTTAAATTATGGGGCTTACATTTTTAAAAACATGGTTGAATTTTATTGACAATCTTGAACCTAGATGCACTGTATTTTAAATGGAGGAATTGTTTTGAATAATAATTTTGAATAAGCCAATGAATAAAATTTGATTATAAATTATATATATGTTGAGACAATATGGTTTTACTAATATTAACAATGAAAATGAATAAATATTGAAAATATAACAAGATTTAGTTTGGAATTTTATTAGGCCTAATGACTATATTAATTATAAACATTAGTTTTTGAGTCATTACAATATCCCCTTTAGAAAATATGTAATTAAATTCTTTAATGACTTGTTTTCGATAAATGACGAGAAAACATATTTAATTTAACAACAGCAATTAACAAATACTTGATTGAGATGAAAAAAATATAACTAGCTTAACATTACATAATGTTTTATCTAGAACAAAATTCTAGTTGGAACGAACATAACAATAACATAATTGTAAAATAACAAAATGATAACTAATCCCCTCCTATCTTCTACAAACTTTAATAACATAACATTAATTAAAGTGGTTAAAACAATTTTTTTTTAACATAATACATGAATTGAATGATAAATTTAAATTTTGATATATGAAGGGAACATGAGACATATACAAGATAAATGATGCTTACAGATAATATGGAGTACATTGAATTAATTTTGACAGTTATTGATGATGATTGCTTGATGATAACTTCTTATAACTAAATACATGTGATTATGACTATCGTTTATAACCATTGGAACAAAGGTAACTGGGGTAGATTTTGAAGGTATTCATGTTGTTGTGGGTCTGTGGTTCTTTCTATGTAGAGGATAGTTAATTCATTTGTTATATTACATGAATCAGTTTGTTGGTTTGGTGGAATCCGGCTAAGAGTATCGGCCGTTATATTTTCAGTGCCCTTGCAGTGGATTATTGTGAAATTATATTCTTGGATAGCTAAAATCCATCTAGCAAGGCGGTTGTTGAGGAGTTTACAAGTTTTTAAGAAAGTAAGGGCATGATTATCAGTTATGATTTTCAATTTGGTACCTAATGTAATGTATCGAGATTTCTGTAGACAATGAATTATAGCCAATAACTCTTTTTCTGTGGTAGTGAACCGTTGCTCGGCAGGCTGTAGCGTTCTGGACATAAACATGATAGCAGCTTTATCTCCGTTCTCTTTGATTTGATACAGGTGACCTCTGATGGTTATGTCTAAGGCATCAGTCTGTAAGTAGAATTCTTTGGCTGGGTCAGGATGATTTAATACACTGGTTTGCAGGAAAAGTTGTTTGATCTCATTGAAGGTGATGTCGTCTGCAGGTGTCCAGATAAACTTATTCTTTTTAGAAGTTAGTCGCAATAAAGGTTGAATTGTAAAGAAGAATTATTGAGAAATTTATTGTAATAATTAATACAACCAAGGAATGATTTAAGTTGTGTTCTGTTCTTTGGTGTAGGGTATTTTAAGATGGGTCTACCTTGCTTTGATCCATTATAAGTCCTTCTTTTGTCAGTGTGTACCCGAGGAATGGTACTGATTCTCTGCAAAACTGTGATTTGTTGAAGTTGATGGTCATGTTAGCTGATTGCAACTTCTAAAAAATCTATATAAATACAATTAGAGTTTTGTTTGTACATTGCTCAGAATTAAATATTTTTAGGTTATTTTTACGTGTAATACATTAAAGAAGCAGAAGCAAGTCTTATCTCAATTTCTGTCTGTCTTTCTGTCTGCCTGTACCACTCAAGATGGTATTTTACGCTATCTTCTCCATAAAAGCGAGAGTACCTATCAAGATCCAAGTCATTTTAATGTATTCACTGGATTGGCGAGAGTGTCTTTAGCCATTATGGCTTCACTACTATGTAACTAAAATTACGAACGTTCAAAAATGCAGTTTTATGTGATTTCTGTCAATTTTTCGTCAAATGTTTATTACATAATCATCTATGAAATAATGAACAGCTGTTCGGATAAAGATTATTTTTCTAGCTGTCTATGATATGTTTTCAAATGTTGTTTACAAATTCCGCAACCATTTCCGATCACGTTTTGAAAGCAAATCCTAACCAAGTGAGATTAAACACGTTTTTCTTACATAACGGATTTAATTAATCGCAAGTGGAATAATATTATAGTGTAACCGTAAATGAAATTAAATAACGAGGCATCATCCAGGTCAGGAACCAGACATTCTTTGTGTATAAAATTGTTCTTGAGTTTTTATAGCCAGAAAGAAGACCTTGAATAAGTGTTGTATAGGGCTGGAACACTTAATGATCGTCACCAATAGTTTACAAGCAAGGTTTACACTCATTGACGGCACTTCAATGGCGGTTGTGTAAAGTGCAAAGTAAAAAATCACAACTGCAGTGGGTGATTGTGCCGAATTTACGGATGATGCAAAACTCGCTTTTCCAATGTATCACTTTCTATTTGTACTCACTGTGTGAAGCAATCGCTGGACCATACAGCCAATGGGCCCATAGCCCATCTCTTGGGTACGTACGCCTACCTATTTATTCATAACAACCTTTTCGACGACATCGTTAATGCCGGTACTTTTCCATAGAATACATGGCCTACCTACTTAAGAAATAAAATTACAAATGTCCAAAAATCCAACATTGTGTGATTTTTTGTCACATTTCCTTCTACTGTTAATAGATATACTAATAATTGTTATCGTTGTATTTTGACAGTTAACTGATGAATAAACAGAAAAAGTAAATATTAAAATTACAGAATAGAAAAGGGGGTTTTTATGAAAGAGCTACAGACTACACCTGTAGTCCAATTTTGATGAAACTTGATATGTAGGTACTAATCTCTGATATCTCCAGGTGTTTTTATAATTTTTTTGAAATTTAGACTTTCATTGTTTGTTTTTCCCATAAAAACCCATAAAATAACGGAAAAATCGGATTTTCTCAAAAATGGTCCGAACGATTTTCATACAATTTACTATGGTATAGCCCTTTAAATTCTGAACAAAATGGTACAAATAAAATTTCTGTAAAAGTTATGGTTCAAAAGTATTGTAAATTATGTTATTTTCCCATAAAAACCCCATATAATAACGATAGGATTTAACAAACATGGTTTTGATTTAACTTAGTATGTCATGGTCCTAAACATTTTGAAAGTTTTTTCTTTTTTTATATTTGATTTGTTATGGGAATTTTCCCATAAAACAACGCCAAAATAGAATTTTCTCGAAAATGGCCTAAACGATTTTCTAAAAACGTTTAATATGCTATAGTCCTTTTAATTCAGAACAAAAAGAAATCCATTTCCGTAAAAAATAAGGTTCAAAAGTGATTGTAACATATGTCATTTTCCTATAAAAAACAATAAAATAATAAAAAAATTCGGAATTTTGGAAAAAAACTGGTATTTATCAAAGTTAATATGTTATGGTCCTTAAAATTCTAAAAAAATAGTCAAACTCCCCATTGCTGTAACAATTACGGTTCAAAGGTTATTGAAACTTTTTTAATTTTTAACCATAAAATATCATATTTACTCTCACCGCTTACTATGATAAAGGTTGCTGACAGGCTTATGGGAGAAAGTATGTGTCAGAATGCTGATACCGTTTATTAGTTTGATCTTTAAAAATACATGGAAACTTTAAAATACAATAGAGTGAAGCACACTAAACTGAGCGTGACACAAATTATTCCATGACTTCTACAGAGAATTCCATTTAATTTGACAATTACATCATCAAAATCGGTTCATAAATAAAATTGTTTTGCTGTACACGAGAAATTCCTACAAAATAAGAATAATAGATAGTTTTTCTTTTATTTTAAATACGACTAAGTTTTCTCTGCAACAGGTGATTCATATTAAGCGGTGTTCGGATTTGAGGTGTTATTGGTTAGTGGCATTTTTTTAAATGTTGAGAAAAACAGTTAAGCCCTATATTTGGATATTTATGATATTCTCACGCTAGTAGAAATTTAAATATTGTTAATTGATTGGTCAATCCATTTAAATATATTAATAAATGGTTTTATAAGGTAGGTATGATCTTTCTTAGAAGAGAAGACAAAAGAGAGGAGAATATAGTTTAATCACTTTAAAAGAACTAATTAATTGATATACTCCCTGATGTAATACTTTGAAGAACCACTCCAAATGTTATGTTTCCCTACACAAGTTTAATAAAACAATTTGTTTTGTTTGACTAGAATTTGAGTTTCAATAAACATTTCTGTTTTAGGTCAAGACAAAAAAGAATTAAAACAACAGATTAAATTGATTAAAGAAAAGTAATATAATGCAAAAGAAGAATAAAGAAGACAAGAGAAAAAGGAAAATCCCTCAAGTGTATTGTAAAAATATCTAATACGCATTGCAAGATTTGACTATGAGGTGATTCAACGTTGAGTGAAAGAGATAGCCTACCATGTAACTACTAGCCACTTAACAAGGCCTACAAACAAGTTTTAGTTACATACGAATCTATGACTTTTCTAATTAGTTACTAGCTTATGTGATAAGATTTATAGATATAAAAATTGCAAAAGTAGAAATGTTAACTTGCTTCAAAAAATTTCCTCTTAAGTGTCTACTATGTGTGCAAAGTTTTTCAACTCCATCCGCACTGAAGGCTCATATATTGTATCACACGGGAGAGCGTCCCTTTAAATGTTTGGCATGTGGGAAAACTTTTTTCCAAAAACACCATGTTATTGTAAAAAGACATTTGTTGATCCATTTAGCGATATATCCTTTACATTATAAGTGCCCAACATGCAAAAAACCCTTTGCATCAAAATACTATATGAAGAGACACACACTAGTTCATACAGAAATGAGACCTTATAAGTGCTGTACATGTGGAAAATCCTTTAAAGACAAAGGCAATATGAAGATACATTCATTGTTTCATACAGATGAGAGACCTTTTAAGTGCTCTACTTGTGGAAAATCCTTTACATCCAAAGGCGATATAAGGAAACATGTATGGTTTCATACAGATGAGAGACCTTTTAAGTGCTCTACATGTGGAAAATCCTTTACAACCAAAGTTAGTATGAAGAATCATTCATTAGTTCATACAGAAGACAGACCTTACAAGTGCTCTACATGTGAAAAATACTTTAAATCCAAAGGCGATATGGTGAGACATTCATTGGTTCATACAGGAGATAGACCTTACAAGTGTTCTACATGCGAAAAATCCTTTACATCCAAAAGCGATATGGAGAGACATTCATTGGTTCATACAGGAGAGAGACCTTACAAGTGCTCTACATGTGAAAAATCCTTTACAACCAAAGTTAGTATGAAGAATCATTCATTAGTTCATACAGAAGAGAAACCTTACGAGTGCTCTACATGTGGAAAATCCTATAAAACCAAAATTCATATGAAAAAACATTCATTGGTTCATACAGGAGAGAGACCTTACAGGTGCTCTACATGTGGAAAATCCTATAAAACCAAACCTCATATGATAAAACATTCGGTGGTGCATACAGAAGAGAGGCCTTACAAGTGCTCTACATGTGAAAAATGCTTTAAATCCAAAGGCGATATGGAGAGACATTCATTGTTTCATACAGGAGAGAGACCTTACAAGTGCTCTACATGTGGAAAATCCTATAAAACCAAAACTCATATGATAAAACATTCATTGGTTCATACAAGAGAGAAACCTTACAAGTGCTCTACATGCGAAAAATCCTATAAATCCAAAGGCGATATGAAGAAACATTCATTGGTTCATACAGGAGAGAAACCTTACAAGTGCTCTACATGTGAAAAATCCTTTACATCCAAAGGCTATTTGAAGAAACATTTATTGGTTCATACAGGAGAGAAACCTTACAAGTGCTCTACATGCGAAAAATCCTTTACATAAAATTACAACAATTACGTAAAATAAATTTTAAATTAAAAAATATAATGGGTTGCCATGACGGTGACGAAATAATAACGAAATATAAACGGAAATTCCAAACAAATTGAACAAATTCCAATCACATGTTTTATTTACAGCGTGGGGGGGGGGGGGGGGGGGGAACAGAGAAGTCCGTACTGTACACATAACATATTTTTGGTAAAGTTTTCCAACGAACTCTAGTTTTCATAAATAATAGTCAAACCTAACAAAAACAACTACAAAGTAACCTCCCTGCATAAGAATGGAGTACTGTGTAATATAGGAAATTTCATCTACATACATTTTCGCCTTATTGCATTTTCACTTAAATATTAAAATATATAAATATATAGACTACAGTATACTGTAGGCGAGAGTTAAGAAGTCCCCTGAGCTCTGGCTTATTCTACAAATGCAGGCGCTTGCTACTTAAAGCTTGCCTCTTAACACGGCTGTCAGGGCTTAAACATATACTGCGCAAAAAACAAAGTAGGCAACTGCGATTTAAACTTATTTTCCTACTCGACTTAATTAATATTGCAGAAGTACAATAAAAATTCATGTACGTCAAAACGACGTCCAACTTATCTAATTGCACTTTGTGGTGGTCTGCTAATTTGCGTTTTTCTCTGGCGTGTTGAGTTTCTTATCAAGAGTTAATTTACCAGATGTTCGAACATGTACAATAGTTTTTTTACCTAAATAATAATAATAATAATAATAATTTGCTGTACTTTCTGTTGCTATATTGTAGATTTGAACTGATAATGTTTGTTGCCACATTCCTTGTCACAAACTTATCCACTCGTCTAATCAAGTTCCTCCCCGCACTGTGATTTGTTGACCCATGTTTCCTGACATTTTCCATTACACTTAACTGCAAGACCACCATCACAGTAATTATAAATTACCAATTATTTAAGATGGGGACGCCACTAATTGCGTATTTTAACCAAAATAAGTGTGAATGATGAGTGGCGCGATGTTGTAGTCTTGTTAGTGACTAAGGTCGACACATTCCTTAGACACAGCTGTTATATAATAGCCCAATCAGCTACAACAAACTCATTGGATACCTTTTTGGATTACCTTTTTGTATTGATGTGTTAGCTGAAAAAACTTTCACATCTGGCAACCAACGCGCCCCTTTTGGATTCAGTTAGTAAATGAGTAGACGAGTCTAAAAAGTCCGGGACACAATCTTTTCTGGCACTCTATGGATGTTTATGACGTAATCAATATGGCCGCCAAAGTTGTGTGACGTGCTTCTACATTTTCCTATATAACTCGGGTTCATTTTTTAATATTGCCCTACATTTTTAGTAATTATTAATCATGAAAAAATTAACTTTCCGATGGTATATTGTACACCATTATTTAGATCCATAACACTATGAATATTTATATCTTTATTAAACTTTTTGTTTTTTTATTTAGATTTTTTAGAATAATTTTGCTAAGTATCATTGAATCCGTTATATGTAGCTGAAAACATTTTACATAAACCTTTTTGCCTGAGTATCACCTTTCTAAAAGTATATATTTTCCATTTTAATACAAACACTTGCTAAACATTTGCTTCAACAATGTAGCGGTACACAGTGAGTCGTTATGACAACAATGCAATTTAAATGGGGTCCGAAAGGAAAAGCGCTAATTAGGCCTATGGGACTTTCACTTTCGTCTTAAAATCAGTGACAGAAAAATTAAGTACAAGAATGAAAACGAAAGAGTGTACAATGCAATATTATTTTAATTTAATATCAAAATGCATTAAAATCCTATACATTACCAAATTAGTTGTGGGGTATATGTAATTTCTTGGGATTTTGAATGAAGCAATATTGTACAATTGGTTGCAATAGATAGTTGTTGGCTTGTAGACTCGTGTACTACCGGGTGTTTTGTCTGGACGTTGTACAATGTGGGTCCAATTTATTTTTCCAAATATAAATGTATGGGTCAAATTCTACTGAAATGAAAATTTGGAAATCTATGTAATTTTCTGTTTTGGTACATTTATATATGAGCTACCATACCTATGCTACCTTTACATATCGTCGGAGTTATGTTCAAAGGGTGAATCAATCAATTCAGAATTTTTCGGGAGATAGGTTTTAAGTTTAAAACTCATATAATTTTTACATTGCTGAAACTTTAAACTAGGTTAAAAGTGCTAAGGTTAAAGTTAAATGTGCTAATTGCACATTTTCATCAGTCTGTTAAAACGTTTAACCTTGTAAGTGTTTTTTTTTAATACTATTACATTTTATCTAGTCTAATGTAGCCTTTTTCGCCCTTTTTACAAGATGTTGTTTTCCATGAGGTACAGTATATTAAATCAGTAATTTGAATTGTATATCTATATTAATAAAATTGGAGTTTTGTCTGTACATTGCTCAGAATTAAATATTTGATCGTTACTTTTATGTTTTTATACGTTAAAGAAGGTGAAACCGTGAAACCGGTCTTATCTCAATTTCTGCCCGTATGTCTGTTTGTCACGGCCCAGAAGGCATTTTACCTTAAGAGAAGGCCTTCTCCTGAAAAACGAGAGTACCTAAGATTCAAAACATTTTAATGTATTAGGTGGATTGGTCCCTTTATGGTGTTTTTTGGTGTCTTTATTCATCCAACTATGGCCTTACAACTTTGTTAAATAATGACGGACGTTCAAAAATCTAATTTTGTGCGAATTTTGCCAAGTTTCCCTCCTATACGATTTATTTGGAAAGTACGACAACTATAAAATAACAAACGGCTGTTTGGATCAAGATTATTTTTTCCATCTCCTATTTTAACTGACATGTTTACATTAAATGTTTTTTTACAAATGCCGCAACATTCCCGATCACGTTAAGGTGATCGGGCAAGGCACCAGGCCAAGTGCGATTAAAAACGTGTTTCCCTACCTAACGGATTTAATTAATCCCAAGTGCAATGATTGGTAATCGTAAATGAAATGAAATAACTAGGCATCATCCAGGTCAGGAACCGGATATTCTTTGTGTATCAAATTGTTCTTCAGTTTTGATAACCAGGAAAAGACCGGGAATCATAATTGTATTGGGCTGATAGTAATGACACCACCCGTTTGCTCATCATAAACGTTATTGGGGCCGTCTTTAAATGCCCTTACCCACCTGTTCACCATTTCGTCACTCACAATGTTCTCGCCATACATTTCACTAATCTTTCGATGAATTGGCTTTAACACCTATAGCAGTTAAAAATCTAATTACAGCACGCACTTCACAGTCGGTGGCAGTCTTAATTGGCGGTGCCATTTTGAATGCTCGAAACCGGATCCAAACACGGCCGAGTTTTGCGAAATTTACAACTCAGGCTTGCCAATACATGCACATACACAGCGCAAATGTCCAAAATGCCAATTGCAGCACTGGAACAGAGAAATTAAAAAAATTAAAAAAAATTAACTTACGGTACTTAAAACATGCCTCGTAGAATAGGCATTAGCTAGGTTTAGGTAGGGTGTGACGCTTAGCGCCACTATATTATATCGTGCCACACAACGAAATCGCTGGCCTTGCGATCAGCGCTCCTCCTTCGGTCTGCCGCTTGCTTTTTTTCCCGAGAAACGTCAAGGAGCTACGGAATCGAGATTTCCTCCGTCTTGTCTCTCGCCGCTTAGTGTTGGACCAGCTGCAAAACTCAATTTTTCCGATCTCACCATGCCGTTGTTAAATCAGGATAAGTCCTTAAACATTAAGTAGTACTAAGATTAAGATGCCAGGCTAGATTAATTATATGAGGGGAAGCCGGCAGGGTTTTGCCCCATTCGTAGAAATGTAAATTCCAAAATTATGATTACCTCGCTTAACAAGGTAATCATTCCTAGACATGCAATAGTCACCACGTTGAAAATTTAAGTATTAAATCATGCAGAAATCGCATTAGGAGTCCAATTTTGTTCAATAAGTAGTTAGGGATCGCAATAGACCTATTTTATCATCATCTAAAATTTTACACTATTTAGCAGTTTAGTTTGGAATGTTAGCTGTAGTTCTGTTTTCTAGTTAAATTATAAGTAATCAAAGCTGGCTGTAAGTAAAAAATAAGTAAGTAAAAAAAAGATAGTAAACATTACTTTCGCATATTAAACATTATTTTTCCGTAGTAAACAATATAATAATGCATTTTTGCAGGTGATAACATGTAACGAAATCAGGTCATGAACGCGTTAGTGAAACGAAAACTATATATCAATATCATTTTTAATAATTTACATTTCACAAAAAAAAGGAAAATTTGAGATAAATTAAATTAAAAATATACTAAAACTTTTAAGCTCAATACTGTTTTAATAAAGGTTTTCACAAAATAAAGAATACTGACTGACAGACCAGCTAACATTTTCATCTTACTTTTTACACGCTAAAGAAGAATCTCTTTCCATATTATAATTTTCGTTGACATTCTAATGTCTTATAAGCCAGATGACGTTGGTTTCGTTGTTATTTAACCATTATTTTTGTTGATAAAAAGCGTGGCATCTTGACATTGCTACGTATAATGTCCCATGGTGAAAGCATGACTCTGGCAGTTAAAGACCAACTTTTTCAAGTGCCTATCCATAATTTTTTGTGATAGCCATGGCAAAATCAATTCGGCATGGGAACTGTCGACGTTTTAATTCTAGGGGATCAGAAGGTGGCGATAGCGCGTCAGGGGGTGACGGGTGGCGCGGTGGTTAGTGGTGAAGATCATAAAGGTATTAATTATAATGTCAGTCATTAAAATATCTGGCAAATGCTGTGTACATACAAGTACTTATTATTTGAATGCATACAGTACAACAGTATAACAAATGACTGTAATCATTCGTGTGGTAGATTCTAATCAGGTAAAATCGTGTTTTGAGTTCGATCCTGAAATAAAATAAGTACAGTATAGGGCCTCTCTATTCCTTTAAAGTTGAAGTTAAATGTTACATTGTAAACATAACTGATATGAGGTGA